AGGCTTTTAAACAACTGCAACAAAGTTTTTTTTGTGGATGCACATATACTGACTGACACACATCTCTCTTGCCCAATTATCCGTATTATTTATTACATTATTTTTTTCAGTTTTCTGCTGGGACTGCTTTTGACAGTCATCCATCCAATGGCGATACAGCCTTGGCCACCACCCATGTGGGAGGTTTCCTTGTCTTTGAAGTGTGCATCTGTGAGTAGTGAGTGACAAGCCCACCGCCTCTACACAGTTTCTACTCAACACTTATTTGTCCGCTAGAGCCATAGTAGAGATTCAGGAAAAACATAAGTGAGAAATGGCCTCTGAATTTTGCTTACGAACATCTCGTTCATACTCGTAAGGTTCTTTTACATGCCGTGAATCTACGATATGAGACCGTCGGCTTTACTTCCCCTCCGAAAGAAGTTGTGCTACGGATTTTTATCACCCTTAAAAATCCATCGACCTTGACCGGGTTTGAACCCGTGGTGAGCACACTACCCACCGAGGGCGACCTGTTTTTAAATAGCACGGTTTAAAAAAATCTCTGTGTTTATACCCAATAATTCCAATTTCCATCTTTAGAAAGACCGATGTTCAAACAATGATCCATCATCCCTGGGTCGCTGTAGGTTGATTTTACCTGAGTAAGGTAGTTTCTCACATTTCATTAATACGCATAATTTACAATTGTTGGTGTACAGTACTTTTACAACTGAAGATCTGTGTATCATGACTAATATATAGGAAGCAGATATTCCATCACAATATGTATATGTTGTGTGTGACGAAGTCTCTGCTTTCTATTCAATTGTAAACAACCACAATAGGATGAAAAATGGATATAAATAGTATGACGCTGTATCGGAATCCATTACAATGTTTAATCGCCGACGTTTCGTTTCCTCATTTTCAAGGCTGTTGACTATGTGGCTCTTAACTCTAGCTCTTTGTAGGTCCCCGAGCGGCGTTTGGAGGGGGAGTGTGGAATGTGCGGCGTGCCGGGGTGGTTGTCTTTGTACTGCTGGAACCCTATGTTGCCGGATCCCATGATCGCCCAAGCGTGAAGCCTCCTTCTCTGTTGAAGTTACTTGGGTGGAGCTGAAACCTTGTCATGAAGCTGAGGTTCCCAACGATAAGATCCAGTTTTCTTCCGTTTCTTTCTGTATGTGCATAACTTAATCTCGTGGCCGTAAACATAGATTCTAAATTTGGCACCACCGCCAAAAGTTCTGCCGGGGACAAGACTCGTGACGCAGTAGAAACAATGCGAGTCTCGCCGTTGTCGGTAGTCTGCAGAAGTAAAGCTCCTATGGCGATCTTACTAGCATCGGTGTAAATTATAAAGGATGATTCTTCATCTGGATGAATGAGGAGGATACTCCACGCGAACTGTGCGCGCAGATCTTCGAACGCTCTCTGCATTTGTTCGGTCCATTTCCATCGGCTTCGTTTCGTCAACAGCGGTGCAACGAAACTTACATAATTAAAAATGAAGCGGTTATGAAAATTGCATGTGCCGAGGAAGTGGCGTAACTGTTTTTGGTTTCTGGGAGCAGGGTAACTCTGAATAGCGGCGATCCGCTCTGGG